TCTCTCTACTTTCTCTCTCTAGCTAGATCTACCACCAATGGGGTTTGTTGTTGAGCTCCGAGCTTTTTCATCCATGCCATGCATGAAGAGTGAACAAGAACTTATAACTTACCTACTCATCCACACCCTACAGTTCATTACAGTTCCATAGCCAAAGGCGTCGTTTATGTTTGTTTAACTTGTATCATATATTTATTTATGTATAAGAATGTTTTTAATTAGCATTATAGCTAGGTAATTATGAAATATTAGGGCTTTTGTAGCTTTATTATCTGGTTTATTACTTGTGTTTATTTGTTTGTCTCTTCTCTCTCCTGTAGTAGAAAGATGTGGTTAGTGGTTGGTTTTGCTAAGTTTAGAACACAAATATTTTGAATTTTATTTAATTAATTTTCTACTTTTCCTAAGTGTTTGTGATGTTTTTTTTTTTTATTTTTTTTTAATGTTTTTTTGTGTGTTTTAAGGGTAATGATATACGCAGACCAAATTAAACATTCAGGCACTTTTTTATCATGATTTTTTACCTTTTTACCATAACTATTTACCTTTTGTACTATTCCTACCAAATCCTATAAAATATAAAACTCAACATTCAAAGTGAAAAATTTCAGATATTCAACAATTTTTGCGATGGATCCAAACAACTTAGACCCGAATGTAAGTTTTTCGTTTTTTTCCCACAACATTATATGCTCGTGTGAATTTACGCGAGCACTTGGCAAGTGCTCGTGTAAATTCACACGAGCAGATGAATTTTATTTTTTATTCATGTGCTCGTGTGAATTTACGCGAGCACTGCACGTGAACAAATTTTTTATTTTTTTTTTTAATTTTTTTTTTAACTCGCTCGTGTGATTTCACACGAGCAGAGAAGGTTTGCTCGTGTGAAATCACACGAGCAGAACGTCTCTGTTCGTGTGAAATCACACGAGCAACACAAATATTTTTTTTTTTATTTTTTTTTGAGTTTTATTCTTTAGTTTTATAATTTGCTAACTACATTAATATAAAAACAGGAAGTATACATAGATGTGGATGAAGATATTGAAACATTCGAGCTACATGATTTCAGTGAATTTTTCACAATTTCGACTGCATTTGATAGTAAAGATGCACTAGTCGAGTGGACGATGAATATGGCCATCAGTCAAGGACATGAGATTAGGCGACAGTCTTACCACGAGGGCCGGCAATATTTGACTTGTAAAAGAGCCTATAAGAGTCGAGGAAAAAATGCAAAGGTCAAAACAAGCCGGAAGTCCGGTTCAATAAAGTGTAAATGCCCTTTTGCACTATGGGGTAAAGAGGGTCGTGATGGATTATGGCGCCTTACCATAAAAAATGGCAATCACAATCATTTTCCTCATAAATATCCACAAGGACTACGTTCGCTAAGTCGCCTGAGTGAAGAGCAACGAGAAGTGACAAAGATACTGAGAAAGAGCCATGTGAAGCCGAAGGAAATTTTGCATATCTGAGACAGATGAATCCGGATACGGCTGCGGCCTTGAGAGATGTGTACAATGAATCACAGAAAATTAGACGAGAGGAAATGAAAGGAAAAACAGTTATACAACATCTGTGGCACGAACTAAGTGAGAGTGGATACAGCAAATGGCATCGAACAAATCCAGCTGGTGATGCAGTGCAAGACGTTATGTTTGCGCACCCTGATTCAATAAAGCTATTGCAGTTATTTCCATACATCATCCTGATGGATTGCACGTACAAGACTAACAGGTAATAATTATTTAAATGTGAATTACATTTATTATATTATATATATATATATAAGTGTTGACTAAATTATAATTACCTTCATGTAGATATGAAATGCCTCTTTTGGAGATCATTGGGGTTACTCCCGTGGGAAGGAACTTCACTATTGCCGTTGCTTTTATGTCACATGAAGATGAGGACACTTATGCATGGACATTGCGATGTTTGCGAGACATATTACCAATCGGGATAGAACCAGAAGTGATACTGACAGATCGTGAGTTGGGCCTACTGAAAGCTTTGCCAAACGTGTTTCCACATTCGCATCACATGTTTTGTTTATATCATATAAACAGAAACGTTGAGGCAAACGCGTCAAAATTCTTGGGTAACACCAAGTTGGGTGTACTGTTCCGGAGGACGGTGTGGGCAAAGTTAGTCTAATCTGAGACTGAGGAAGAATACGAATGCAACTATAGAGAGATAGTTAGTTTGTACGGGCAATATCCGAAGTTGATAACTTACATCAATGAAACGTGGTTGATTTATAAGGAGAGATTTGTTAAGTGTTGGACCAACAACATCGTTCATTTCGGTAACACGACGACTAACAGGCATATAAATTGATTTTACTATAAACTCGTTACGTACAATCTTTTATACACATATTACATTTATTCATTATTTGAGTGTTTTCTCGAAACAGGGTACATCGAAGCGTTGGATCCAAACATCGACTGGAGCTATGGATACAGTTCAAAATGCACTAGATGCGCAAGTTGACCTTCAAATTAATGAATTGAAGGTGGAAAACGAAAGCAGTAGAACAGTCAGGATGTACAGTACTTCATTGTCGTGCTTCGGTGCTTTGGTATGTAACGTATCACACAAAGCACTGGACCTGTTGGATAAAGAGTACGAAAAGTTGGAAAAGAATCCGGATAGTTGCAACTGTTACGTAAGCCGAACCCACGGACTCCCGTGTGCGTGTATGATTGCAGTTAAAATTGCCGAGGGAGATACTTTTTATCCGCAACAGTTACATCCATTCTGGAGAACGTTGTTTGTCGAGCCGAAGTCGGATCCATGGGAGGACGAGGAGGAACCGTTTGATCGCACAGTTGCAATTAAGAAAGTTCTTCTCGATGAGTTCGAGAAGTTATCAAACAAAGATTAAATGTCCCTAAAAAATGCGGCCGACTATTTACGGGACCTAAATAATCCTTCTTCAACGCATTTACAAGAGCCATCATTTGTGAAGGCCAAGGGACGACCTAAGAATAACTCGATGAAGAGAAACTTGTCCGGACATGAGCACATGATGAATCGGAAATCCGAAGTTAAATCTTGTTCGGGCTCTAAGGGTCGCAAAACCCCTGAAAGGACGCCAGAGTCAAAATTTGAAGCTGGTACGCCAGAGTCAAAGGTTAAAGGTCGTCCTCGCGGACGTACTAAATCGACGGAAGAATCAGTTGTTACTGCCGGGGACCGGGTCAATTTCTTTTCCTTCCTTCCTCCGTTTCTCGCACAGTCCGTAGCCTCATATGTTAATGTGAGGGCCGATGGAAATTGTGGCTACCGGTGCCGTAATACATGCTCCGAGGATGTAAGTAATGTGCACCGGTACCATACGGGGTCCAACAAAACTAAGCATATTTTAAACTAATTAGAAAAATCCGTAACTCTACTATAAACATAATTAGAAAAATTATTACTCACATCTCTTTCGGTCATGGCGTCGAGTATTTTCCGGTATTCCTGCAGCGTGGTTTTATTGCCTCCACCATGGGCCCACCTTCTGCATCGAGACTCAAACTCGGCATATGAACGGGAAAGAGGTGGTCGAAAGCAGGGGAAATGCTCAAAGATCCAGCACTGCAAACAAACACCAATGAATAAATAAATAAAATAGAAGTTTAAATAAATAAATAATTACTAATAAAGGTACACGTACCAGAAGGAGAATAACACATCCACAGAGACTGTTCATCCCAGCGCGGGTGGCAATACCCAATTGGCGGTACATGTTTGCTAAGCATGCCGAAGCCCACGAATACTTGCCGACATTATCGAGATCGTTGGTAAAATGTATCCACCACGGCTTCATGTTACACGATGTTTTGTCTACAAACAAAACAGACCCAAGCAGAAACATCAAGTAGCCCTTCATCTTCTTCTCGTCTGTGGCGGAGGGAAGGGTCAACTGATCTCTCACCTTAACCTAACCAACTCCCTTGTTTCGAAACATCTCATTGGTGTCCATCAAACCGACACCCAATACAGATGCAAGACTCTGTGAGCACTCTTCTACCGGGCGAATTTCAGACACTGCTGGTCCGTCCAGCCGCAACCCCAGGATGAAAGCGACATCGTGGAGCGTGATCGTCATCTCGCCCCATGGCATGTGGAAACTGTTCGTCTCCGGCTGCCACCTCTCCACGAAAGCTAGCATGAGGTTCTTGTTCATCCTCTTCAGAAAACAGTCTCGTAAGTGGTAAAGACCTGTTGCCTCCAGCCTCGCAATCATCGTGTTATCCTGCGGGCCGCGGTAGTCCTCGAGTGCTTTGGTCCTCGACTCGCACCGTGTAGTTTCACGGCGCTCCTGAAAAATATTGCATGTATTGTTAGCTAAAAAAAATGAATAATATAAGAATTATGTAAAGCATGTGTTGACAGAAAAACTTACATATCCTTCCCAAATGTACATCGCTATATGCGACTTGAACCATCGCATAAACTCTAAATTTTGCGGCCCTCCCTCGCACGGACCCTCCAAGTACGCCGGACCAGGCAGCTGCGGAAAGGGTAAGGCACGACCAGCTCTACGATCCTGATATACATCTGCTGGCTCATCATCTTCCTCCATCTCATCGTCAGTATCCATATTATCGGGATTGTTGTTATGGTCATCATCGTCGTCGGCATTTGGCAATGTACTACGAGCTAGCTGGAGATCGCGTGTAGGTCCACAGGGTCCGGCTCCAGCTGCAACAGCTTCTCGTCTCAGTCTCTCTTCTTCCCGCTGTAACGCTGCTTCTCGAGCTAACTGCTTTCTTCTACGGGCGGAAGCAAGGACATCTCGGTCTCCAATGCGATCCGGATCTTCCGGATTGTCACCCTTCCCGCTCAAGGCTTTCATTAAGCTCTTGCCTTTACCGGCAACTTGACTCATAAGACTTTTCCCCCGGCCTCCTGCCATCTACATTTTAAATAAGCACTTTATTAATATTTCATATAATAAAAAAAAAGCATTTAAATAATGAAACGAAAAAAAAAAAATTTAATTGGTTCTGCTCGCGCAAAAACACACGAGCATTTCAACAGTGCTCGTGTGAAATAAGGCGAGCACTGTTGAAATGCTCGTGTGTTTTTGCGGGAGCAGAACCAATTCAGTTTAATTAATTTATAAAAAAAAAAAATTTAA